CTTTCTCTTCGACATTCTCATTCACTCTCATTACTTCTTTTGATTTCCCATTTCCCACATTTTTGTCATCCTTTACTGATTCAGAATCTCCATCCAAATGTGCTGTAGTTGAGTCATCGTGAATCACATCCTTTTTATCTGAGCTTTTCTCATTTACATTCTCATTTTCATTCATTATTATTTCTTCTTTTGATTTCCCAATTTCCCAGTTTTTGTGATTCCTTACTAATTCAGAACGTCCATCAAGTGTCGTAGTGGAGCTTTGTAAGAGCGATTCTAGTTCCTTGATCTTTCGTTTAGCGGAAGTGAGCTCCAACTCCAACCATTTTTCCTTCTCTCCTACAACTTCGTTATCTTTTTCGGACAGATAAGAATCCTTAGGCATCCTCCCCTCTCTATCATTCTGGTCTCCAAATAAGTTGTCTTTGTTGATAACGTCTTTGTTGCCCTCATCCTCTTTGTTGCTTTCTTCATCTTTGTTGGTGACATTTTCCTTGCTAGTCACGACAGCTTTGTTTGTCACGTTTTCTTTGCAAATCACATCATCTTTACTGGTCACGTCTTCCTCGATAGTCACATCATCCTTATTGGTCACGTCTTCTTTACTAGTCACGTATTTCTCAGTCACACCATCTTTACTTGTCACGTCTTTTATACTGATGCTGCATACGACGTCGGCCTTGCTATATCTGTCACCTGCATGGCTTATTGGTCCAACATAAGAAGAAAAAGTTCCACACACCTCTCTTTGTCCTTCATCTCTTAGAAACGCATAAAGTTCCATTCCTTGTTCAGTCTGGATTACATTCTCCGTGGGTACTGTGCACAGCGTCTCCGTTTCTTGAGGTTCTTCTTGGATCAAGTGAGCTTTCTTCTCTAGCTCTTTCACAGTTTTTAGTAATTTCTCGTTACATTCTTTCAACATTATGTTGTCTCTCTTTAAACGGTAGATCTCATCTCTTAAGTTAGCAACGTTATCATCTGATAGATTATTTTCTAAATTCCCATTATTCCCATTTTCTGTGATGTCCTTTCCAGACATCTGTTTTTCGATAGTTTCATTATTAGATCCCAAGGACTTATGCACCCTGTCACTATTGCTATCAGAAACACTTATACTCTCATTCAGTTCCTTAAAGCTTGCATCGAGGTCAGAGAACAGAGCTTGAAGCGCTGAAAAACAGCTCAAAAGTCGCTCATTAGCAACTACAATCAGATCATGATTATCCTCCCATTCAAAAACATTTAGTTGATAATTCTGTAAATGTTCACTGAGTTTAAGAATGTCGTTTATTAATGTGTTGTAAGCCATCTTTATGGATGATAAATCACTTTCTTGTGATTCCATTTCTTCATTTTCTTCATGACTTTCATTCTCTCCCAATTTCCGCATCACATTTTTATGCGATGCTTTTTGTATTTTTCCAAGAGTTTCTCTTGCTTGTAAATGGTAAATTTCTTTTTTAAGTTCTTCGTTGTTTACTCTCAGTTCCTCTATCTCTTTCGCGAGTTTTTCCTCTTTTTTCAATATTCCTTCTTCTTGGCGTTCGATATTTGGTAAGTTTTCTTCAAAGACTATAGTTCCGCTGTTTCTGTCGGGTGCTTTCTCAGTATTTTTCAACAAAGGGCTTGTACACGTTTCCACGTAGCTCTCAATTGCCTCAGCTGCTGGAATTTTTTCTTTACTTTGTTTTTGAGATTCCCTTTGAGCTTCTTCCAATTTAAGACAAGCCTCGCCAACCCTATCTTCCAGTATTCCTAACTTCATCTCACGCTCCTCTAGCTGTTTCTCCAAACCTCCCTTCGATTTGACAGCCTTCTCGAGTTGTAGCTCCAAATCATCACACCTGTTACTCATAGTTTTTACATCTTCTTTTGCCCTCTCCAACTCACCCAACGTCTCCTTCTGCGACCCTCTCAATAATTCATATTTGTTTTGTAAGTTCGTAATTACCTTCTCCAGTTCTGACTTTCTTTGCTTTGTTATCTCATAAAGTGACTCCCACTTTGATACTTTTGCATGAGTCTCACTTAGAAGCTCTTTTTCTTTCTCTATATTTGTATCGTTACTTTCTTCATGCTCTGTCAAGTCCTTCTGAAACAAGACGTTCTCATTATCAACCTTTTCTACTTTTTTGTCATGAACGTATTTTCCCGCCTTGCCTTGATTTACCGGGTACTTTCTCTCCATTTTTTCACTTTCATTTACTATTTCATTCACCAGTTGTATCTCTACTATCTGCTGTTGCAGTTTCAACAGCTTTTCTTGCATTTCATTCGTTCTCTTGCGAGAATCATTCAACAGGGATTCTGCTAGTGCTTTCTCTTCATATTCATACTTTAGCTTAACTTCAAGGTCTGACATCTTTCCCTTAGCATCCAACAATTCTCGTTTCAATTCCCTGTTTTCTTTCTCGAGATTCTCGTCGTTGGATTCAATTTTATCTTTTTCTCTTTTTAAATCAAGTAATTCACTTTCCATGTCAAAAATGCGTCGATTTAGTGATAATATTTTTTCATCTTTCACGGATACTTGCTTTTGGTTTCCATTTATTTTTTCTTTTATAACCCTTTCTCCGCTTTGCGTTCGACTTCCTTTTGCAGAGACATCACCCGAGTCTCCATCCATGTCATCTTTCTCCTCAATATCAACAGTGTTCATCGTCGTCTTCAAAGTTCGTGAAGTAATTACTCCAGCCTCCTCAAGACTTTGCTSCAACTCCTTCATTTTTTCTTGACTCTGTTCAAAATGTCTTCTTAAAGTCTCCAAATCTGTTTTCGCACAAATTAACTCAGTCTCTAAAGCTATATTGCTTTCTCTGAGCCTTGAAATGGCATTTTCCTTCTCTTTCATTTCCATTAAATTCTTCACGGAGGACACTTCTTTCTCGCGTATTCTATGATTTGCAGTCAAAAGTCCTTGTTTTGCTCTACGAATGCTTCCCTGTGCATTTTCATACTCATTCTTATAATGATCTCTCTTCTTACGCAAACTATTGATTTCATTTTGAAGATTATTTACTTGCAATGTTTGAGCGGATTTTTGATGATTCAAGGTGTCATTCGCTTCACGTTCTTTGAAAAGATCTCTTTCCATTTTCCTAATATTTTCTTGATACAAGAGAAAGCGTTTCTCGTACTCCACATTTTCAGCTTTAAGCCCTTCAGCAGTGACTTGATTATCTCTCAACTTCCTGCGAACTTCGTCCAAATCTGCCTCGCAAGTCCAAACCCTGTCACGTGACTCTTGAATCACGTGATCCTTCTTACTGATCACGTGATTTAGGTATTCATTTGTCTTGACTTGTTCGGTGATTTTACTTTGTAACCTCATTATTTCTTCTTTTTTGTTCATTAGGTCATCGTTAACAGCATCTAGCTGGTCTTTGATAAGACTCCTGCTTTTATCCAAAGCATCAACTTTAGATTCCAGCTGCGCTATCTTCTTCTTCGCAGCGCAGACTTCCTCTTCCGCATCTTCTTTCATTGTCCGACTTAAATGCAATTCCTTCTCCATATCTTTAAGGCTATTTTCAAGAAGATATGATCTGCGGGTCTCTTCATTTTTCTCCTCTAAAGATCTCTCAAGATTGCAGCTAAGATTGAGAATTGTTTCTTCCGCCACTTGTAGATCCTCGGTGACAGCGTGGACGTCCTTCTTCGACACATCCGCTTCTGTCTCTAATGAATCAATTTTTGATTTTAAAGAATCGACTTCCTTTTGATTCTCGTTCACCTTTGCTCGCTCGTGTTCCAGTTGCTTCATTAATTTAGCATCGCGACTTTTACCTACATCTTTTTCCATGCCTTGCAGCTTTCCTCTTAGCCATTCTACTTCTCCCTCAAGCTGTTCCTTCCGTTTAGTTGCTACGCTTTCCATATCTTTAACACGTTTTACCTCATTATTTATAAGACGAAAATGTTCTTCTAATTCATTTTTCTCCTTATCACGTGTTTGTAGCAACGATTTCGTGTGGCCCAACTCATCCTGAACGGTCTCTGAGTACGCAGTGACAGCCATTATCTTTTCCCTTAGCTTTTCTAACTGCTTGTCCTTTTTAGCCACCTCCCTACCGATCTCATCTGCCGCGCGTTTGTATTCATTGACCTGTCTCTTCAATTCTGCTATCTCATCATTGCTTTGACAAGTAGAAGAGATAGCTTGTTGTATCTTGGCTTCAAGATCTGCGTTATTTTTCATAATCTCAGATAATTCAGCTTCATATTTTTTCACTTTTTGCTGCAGCAATGCCGCTTGGTGCTCAAATTCATGCCTTTCGTGTTCACAGACATTCAAATTCGACTGCAAACCGTTGATTTTCTTACAAAGCTGTTCTATATCAAGATCTAAGCGATCTTTTTCCTGAACACAAAGGTTATTATCAGCTTCTAGTTCTTTGATTCGGTTTTGTAAATCCAAAGCCACCTGGTGCAGATCTCGTTTTTCTTCTTCCGTTACCTCAAGCTTTGCTTCCAATTTTCCAAGCTTTTCGTTCAAATTCTGGAGCTTTTCTTCATTAGTTTTCTTCACCTTTTTCAGCTCTCCTGAAAATCTTTCCTTGATCTCGTTCTCTCGGTTGATTCTCTCCATGCCTCTTTGAGCCTCATCTAATCGACTCGTCACCACAAGTAGTTCTTTCTCCACTTTTTTCTTCTTTCCTCTTTCATTGTCAACCTCCGTCTTTAACTTTGCTATCTGTTTTATATTACTCTCATTTTGTCCTTCGATTTTTGACATTTGGTTTTTTAAAGCGCTTATTTTTTCTTCAAGTTGGTTGTTGCTGTCTTCGCTTCGTTTTAGCAACTCTATCAAGTCATCAATTTTTCTATCAGCGAGTAAAGCATTCTCCTTCACTTCTTCGTTCTCCTCAAGCGCTTGTTCCAAATGTCTTTCCATCTCAGTGTTTCGCTGGTTAGAATCGATAAGTTGAGACTGCAAGTCGTTTTCTTGTTCTCTAAGTTGATTCAATTCCCCTTGAAGCTGAGAGTATCGATTCGTTTGTTTGAACAGCTCTGTCTCTAGTGTTGAAGCATTGTCACGAGCTACTTTAAGATGCCGCTCCAATTCTCGTATTTCCTCCTGCAACCTGAAATAGAGAAAGATTCATAATTTGCCGCCACTTTAAGCTTAGTCTACCATGCAAGTGCAAGTGTGCACAAATACACACACCACACACACTTGGTAACAGTGAACAGTCTGGACCATACAGTAAGTGGACGGTAACTCTCGTCGAACACTTACCGTTACTGTTACCATTACCGTTCCGACCAGAGACAAACACTCTAAATGGGTATTTCATTCAAAATCTGGCAGTAATTCTTCGTTAGTTTTGTTAACGGGTTTGAATTTGTCGTTGATTAGTAAGAGCGTGATCGAGAGACCGAATTTATAATCTCAGACCTTGACAAAAATCTGACATATATAAGTACTTTCTTCAACAACTAAAACAAAGCATTATTGAGAGAATACGGTACCTTTGGTTTGATTCTTCCAAGCCAGTAATCTTGTTCCTACTGATGATAACGTCCCGTTCAAGGTCCTGATTTTCGTTTCTTGTTGTCTGTAAAGACTTTTCAAGATCTTGGATTTTAGATTCTGACAATTCGAGATCTTGAATGAGTGATTCGTCCTGGGAAGCCAACAGCTCGCTTGCCGCCTGACGAATATTGTAAGAAAAAATAAGGTTTTAGAATTGTTAGGTTAATAGGTTAACACCAGCGGCTATGGTGGTTGTGCTCATGGTGATAATGATCATGATGGCGTTGGTCAGTGATGATGGTGGTATTGACAATGTAATGACGATAATGATGATCAGTAATGTTAATGATGGTGGCGGTAGTGATAGTCAGGTGGTGGTAGTGTCGGTGATGGTGATGATGATGATGATACTGTTGGTAATCATAAAAATGTTGACGATGATAGTGCTGATAATTATAATTTGTTGTAATGATGAAGATAATGCTGATGGTGTTGGAAATGATGGTTATGGTTATAATGGTGGTACTTGTGCTGCTGATGAGACCTGAGATGATGCAGATGATTACAATTTTGATGAAGATGATGATGGTGATGATGA